GCTGGTTCTAGAAAGCATAGACACACTTTCGTTTCATCTTATATTGGTGCCAATAAAGATAGACAAGCAATAATGACAAACATATTTCCGACTCATTTCTTTGACCTATATGGAGGTTTCTTAAAATCGGGATTTCCCAAGTCACCATGGTTGTTTCAATACTAAGTCATGGTCATCCATGACTTGGATGATTTGGGGTACCCCCATTTCAGGAAACCTCCATATAGTTGTTTGGGAACCTCTATAGGATCCTATAGGCTCTGATACCTCTCACTCACTATCTCTCACTCCACTCCCATACTTCAGCACCAAGGACACACAGTTGAGCCCGGGATTCTGGAGGCTGGCGATGACTGGGGTGAAATATCAACTGGTCTGATATGTACATTTAGACAATATAACATATATATATATAGATGTAATATACATTATGTGGTGATATATATATATATAGATTATGTAATTGTATAAATATCTACCGGTTAATTAACATAGTACAACATACCATACATGTATATATCACGAAAGCCAGCCGAAGGCCTGGGCTTGAGTATAGGTATAAGCGAAGCGAAGCGAAGCTAATCTAGGGGGTGTGGGGGGGGGGAGGCCCGAAATCGGTCCGTTTTTGAAAGGTGAGGCCGGAGCCTGGGGGGGAGAGCTCAAAAACCGACCTGCCGTTTGCCTGGTTTTTTGGGCCCGACCGAGATGCTCCATTTTGGACACTTGTTGGTGGTTTTCGACGGTTTTCATCGAGTTTCAAGCGCCGAAACACTGTAATTTACGGTGTTTTTGCGCGTTTGGCCTGGCAAAAGTACATCTTGCAACATGCTGAAAACTGCGTAAATACCGCTGTTTTTGCTAGGTTCTGGCCATAAAACACTGTAAATACCGTGGTTTTTGGTTCCAGGAGCAAAAAACACCGCAAATACCGTGGTTTTGGGCTTGCAAGGCGTCAAAAAAACACGGTTTTTACGGAGTTTTTTGCTCCGAGAATGTTCAAAAAACACGAAAACACCACCTATTTGACAATTTTTCGGCTTTACCTTGTTGGTGGTTCTTGACGGTTTTCATCGGGTTTCAAATGCCGAAGCACTGTAATTTACGGTGTTTTTGTGCGTTTGGCCTGGCAAAAGTACGTCTTGCAACATGCTGAAAACTGCGTAAATACCACTGTTTTTGCTAGGTGCTGGCCATAAAACATTGTAAACACCGTGGTTTTTGGTTCCAGGAGCAAAAAACACCGCAACTACCGTGGTTTTGGGCTTGCGAAGCGTCAAAAAACTATTTTTTTTTTTTAACGGAGTTTTTTGCTCCGAGACTGTTCAAAAAACACGAAAACACCAACTATTTGACCATTTTTCGGCTTTACAAATGAAGGTTAAAAAAAACATGCCGCAACGTCTCTGTGTGAAGATGTTTCTATGTAAAAGCGTCTCTGTGTAAAAGCGTTTCTCTGTAGATATATCTGTGTGTACAAGGGTCTGTGTGTCAAAGCTTCTGTGTGTAAAAGGGTCTCTGTGTAAAAGCTTCTGTGTGTAAAAGCCTCTGTGTGTCAAAGCGTATGTATGTAAAAGTGTTTGTGTGTAAAAGCGTCTGTGTGTAAAAGGGTCTGTTTGCAACATTCTGTGTATGCGTAAAAGGGTCCGTGTGTAAAAAGGTTCGTGTTTAAAAGTGTCTGTGTGTAAAAAGGTCTGCGTGTAAAAGCATTTCTGTGTCAAGATGTTTGTGTGTCCAACAGTCTGTGTGCTACTACGACTCTGTGTAAAAGCCTTTCGGTGTAAGGATGTTTGTGTGTAAAAAGGTCTGTATGTAAAAGCCTCTGTGTGTGAAAGCGTATGTGTGTAAAAGTGTTTGTGTGTAAAAGCGCCTGTGTGTAAAAGGGTCTGTGTGCAACATTTTGTGTATGCGTAAAAGGGTCGGTGTGTAGAAAGGTTTCTGTTTAAACGTGTCTGTGTGTAAAAAGGTCTCTGTGTAAAAGCATTTCTGTGTCAAGATGTTTGTGTGTCGAAAGCGTCTGTGTGTAAAGCTGTCCCTGCGTACACGGGTCTGTGTGTAAAAGCGTCTGTGTGTAAAAGCGTGTCTGTGTGAAGCTGTTTGTCTGTAAAAGCGTCTCTGTGTCAACGTGTTTCTGTGTAAAGCTCTTGTAAAAGGGTCTGTGTGTAAAAGCATCTGTGTGTCGAAGTAAAAAAGTGTCTGTGTGTAAAAGCGTTTGTGTGTGTAAAAACGTTTGTGTGTAGTCTGCAAGGGTCTGTGTGTAAAAGGGTCTATGTGTTTTTAGCTTCACAATGCTGGGTCATAGCTTCCGTTTGCTTGCTGTTCGTTCTAAAATTGTATATGTAGCCGTTTCCCGTTCTTCCCAAAAGCGAACTGCAATAGCCGGCCGAATGGCCCCCAAATGGCAGAAAATTGCTTCCAACAGGTTTCTGCTCTGGATTTGGCTCCAAAAGGCTCCTGGCCAGGATTTGGCCTAAAACGGCCGTTTCCCCTTGAGCCCAGAAGGCACTTTTCATTGCCGGCCCGCAAGCCGCGAAAGTCTTAAAAGCTGGCTCCAAAAGGCTTCGGCCAGGATTTGTCTAAAAATGGCCGTTTCCCCTTGATCCCAGAAGGCCCTTTTAGTTGCCGGCCCGCAAGCCGCGAAAGTCCCACAAGCTGGCTCCAAAAGGCTCCGGGCTTGCGAGGCGTCAGAAAACACGTTTTTTTTTTCCGGAGTTTTTTGCTCCGAGACTGTTCAAAAAACACGAAAACACCAACTATTTGACCATTTTTCGGCTTTACAAATGAAGGTAAAAAAAACATGCCGCAACGTCTCTGTGTGAAGATGTTTCTATGTAAAAGCATCTCTGTGTAAAAGCGTTTCTCTGTAGATATATCTGTGTGTACAAGGGTCTGTGTGTCAAAGCTTCTGTGTGTAAAAGGGTCTCTGTGTAAAAGCTTCTGTGTGTAAAAGCCTCTGTGTGTCAAAGCGTATGTATGTAAAAGTGTTTGTGTGTAAAAGCGTCTGTGTGTAAAAGGGTCTGTTTGCAACATTCTGTGTATGCGTAAAAGGGTCCGTGTGTAAAAAGGTTCGTGTTTAAAAGTGTCTGTGTGTAAAAAGGTCTGCGTGTAAAAGCATTTCTGTGTCAAGATGTTTGTGTGTCCAACAGTCTGTGTGCTACTACGACTCTGTGTAAAAGCCTTTCGGTGTAAGGATGTTTGTGTGTAAAAAGGTCTGTATGTAAAAGCCTCTGTGTGTAAAAGCGTATGTGTGTAAAAGTGTTTGTGTGTAAAAGCGCCTGTGTGTAAAAGGGTCTGTGTGCAACATTTTGTGTATGCGTAAAAGGGTCGGTGTGTAAAAAGGTTTCTGTTTAAAAGTGTCTGTGTGTAAAAAGGTCTCTGTGTAAAAGCATTTCTGTGTCAAGATGTTTGTGTGTCAAAAAGTGTCTGTGCGAAAAAAGCGTCTATGTCTCACGGCGTCTGTGTGTGCAAGGGTCTGCGTGTCAAAGGGTCTATGTGTAAAAGCGTCTGTGTGTAAAGCTGTCCCTGCGTACACGGGTCTGTGTGTGAAAGCGTCTGTGTATCTGTGTGAAGCTGTTTGTCTGTAAAAGCGTCTCTGTGTCAACGTGTTTCTGTGTAAAGCTATTGTAAAGGGGTCTGTGTGTAAAAGCATCTGTGTGTCGAAGTAAAAAAGTGTCTGTGTGTAAAAGCGTTTGTGTGTAAAAACGTTTGTGTGTAGTCTGCAAGGGTCTGTGTGTAAAAGGGTCTATGTGTTTTTAGCTTCACAATGCTGGTTCATAGCTTCTGTTTGCTTGCTGTTCGTTCTAAAATTGTATATGTAGCCGTTTCCCGTTCTTCCCAAAAGCGAAATGCAATAGCTGGCCGAATGGCCGCCAAATGGCATTGGCCTAAAACGGCCGTTTCCCCTTGAGCCCAGAAGGCACTTTTAGTTGCCGGCCCGCAAGCCGCGAAAGTCTCAAAAGCTGGGTCCAAAAGGCTTCGGCCAGGATTTGGCTAAAAACGGCCGTTTCCCCTTGATCCCAGAAGGCCCTTTTAGTTGCCGGCCCGCAAGCCGCGAAAGTCCCACAAGCTGGCTCCAAAAGGCTCCTGGCTAGGATGTGGCTAAAAACGAGCGTTTCCCCTTGATCCCAGAAGGGAAATCCAATTGCCGGCCCCCAAGGCGCGAAAGTCTAAAATCTGGTTCCAAAAGGGTTCTTGCTAGGCTTTGGCCCAAAACGGCGGTTTCCATTTGATTTCAGATGCGGCTCTGTGTCAAGATGTTTCTGTGTAAAAGCGTCTGTGTGTAAAAGGGTCTGTGTGCAACATTCTGTGTATGCGTAAACGGGTCCGTGTGTAAAAAGGTTTGTGTTTTTAAAAGTGTCTGTATGTAAACAGGTCTGTGTGTAAAAGCATTTCTGTGTCAAGATGTTTGTGTGTCAAAAAGTCTGTGTGCTACTACTACGACTGTGTATAAAGCCTTTCGGTGTAAAGATGTTTGTGTGTAAAAGGGTCTGTATGTAAAAGCCTCTGTGTGTTAGTTTCTGTGTCAGAAGGCACTTTTAGTTGCCGGCCCGCAAGCCGCGAAAGTCTTAAAAGCTGTGTCCAAAAGACTTCGGCCAGGATTTGGCTATGCTTGCGGAGCAGCGTGAGCACCTGTTTTTCTTGGGCTAAAAGAAGCCTACGGTAGGAAAGTTGTTGTCGACCTACCGCAGGTATGTCTGCATGTCATGTAGTGTACAGATACTACACTTGTTCATAGCCAAAAGGTCAGCTTTGAAAAACCCTTATGCACTCCCCCTTTGGCACGCTGCCAAACCTGTACTGGAGGGTGCACTTTTCAACTGCCTAGAGGCTTTGCTCTTGTCTGATGGCGCAAAACGCCTAGTGGAGTAGCACCTTTAGTGCACTCACTTCCCTACGGCTACCATCAGATTTGGGTCGTAAAGACAAGACCCCTTGCACGCCTAGTGGCCTTAAACACTAGGCCCTTGGAAAATTTCTACGGCCAGTCAGGCCCAAAGCTTCTCTCAGCTGTGCTCTTCATGGACGAACTCCTCTTCTGCGCTGTAGTCCGGATCGTCCTCATGGCGTTCTTCCTCTTCATTGCTTTCCCGGCCATGTGCTGCAGGTCCACCATCATCATGCCCTGCAACTTCGTGGTCCTCTGTTGCTGGACCTTCTGCTGCATCATGACCTTCATGGTCTCCCTCAGGGATCACCTCGAGCTCCACCTCGACGTAGTCCCCGTCATCACCATGTTCTTCTTCTTCTTCAACCTCCTCTTCATAGTTTTCTTCTTCATAGTTTTCCTCTTCAGGATCTGCTTCGGGGTCAGATCCTTCTTCATCTGCAGCTGCATCTGCATGAGCTCGGCTTGTTTTGCCTTTGCCCTTGGTCCGCAGGAAGTCGCGGTAGACCTCCAGCCCCAGATTGGCAGCTCCTCTTCCCACCGGGGCTGTACTTGAGCTCGAAGGTGCTGCGCTGGAGCTTGAAGCGCCAGTTGGCGGGTGTAGGATGGCCTCTGCATCCAGGTACTGGTTCACCGCCACGGCTGCCTCCTCATAGGCTGCTTCTGCCCCCTCGCTGCCATTCCCATGGATGGCCACAGCGCTTTCCGCTCGCCGTACTGCGGCGGTGGCTTGGCGCAGCGACTGCGCCAGTTGCAGTTCGGCCGCTGGGTTTGCGCCCTTGCCCTGCAGGACGATGCGGCCCCCACTGCCTTTCTTTGCCCCCTTGGTTGGAGACGCGAAGGGCCCTTGGCTGCTTTCCCTTCGCATAGATGCGCTGCCATCCCGTCGTAGGGCTCGTCACGGAGTGGGTTATTGTGGAATCCTCACCCCTGGTGCCCTTGCCACGACGCTCCGGCCACCATCTGACCGTGTGGCCACGCCCCTTTCGGAGCTTCTGGGGCTCCCATGCAGAGCTCTTGCCGACCTGGAACTTGTTCTTTCGTCCCGTCAGCTCATCGGATCTTCTTTTCATCCGATACATGAACTCCTGGGTGGCCGTCCCTTCCACAGAGTCCTCCTCATTGTCCTCGGCTTCAGGCTCAGGGCTTGCCCGGTCGTTGCGCCGTGGGTCATCTCTGTCCCCAGGGCCATCTCCACCACCGGCACCACTCGCAGCCATCGCCCCATGTTGAGGGTCCCGCCGAAGTTGAGGACGAGCTTTAGGGCGTAAAGCCATCTGCTCGTTTTGATCCCTGTTGGTTTCATCGTACTGCACATCCTCCAGGATCTCAGCCTCTGATGTGCTCGACAGGGTTCTCGACGGTGAAGGCACCCTTGGTGTTGATGGCGGAGTTCCCCCACATATTGGTCCAGCTCCAGCCAACCTGAGAATTCTCTGTAGGAGGGATTCTCCAGCATCTTCTCCTCCACCTTGTTCTTGTTGTTGTTCCGGCGGCGGTGCAGGAACTTCCCGTCGAGGCGGACTTACCATCCTTGCTGGTGGTGTCGGCATTCCAGCTTTTGCCCTTGACTTCGCCATTGCCATCGCCAAGTCATGCCGAACCACATCGCCCGGTGTGCGAAGATCCACTTCAGGGCCGCCACGCTGTCGTTCCAACCATGCCGTCGCTTCTGCCAGTTCTTCAGGAGACCTATATCTCACTGGCCCAAGGTCCAGCGACATGCTTTGTTGCGCTGGTGCTTGCCCTTGTAGTCCTGGATGAAAGCCTTGAGGTCCTCTTGGAGGTCCTTGGTGTTGTTGCTCTCCACATCCAGGTGCAAACCCTTGTTGTCCGTGAGGTGCTTGTGGTCCATGGTAACCTTGTTGCACCCCTTGCCAACGAAAGCCAGGACAACATCCACCTCTCCAAACTCCAGCATATCCCTGCGGAGGTGGTGCCGGCAAATCCGGCTGTGGTGGTGGCATCCCGTGCTTTGGGTCCTTTTGGACCGTTTTGGCCCTTTTGTCTTGCGGCTGCTCTTCATCCTTGTTGGGCATCTCACACTGCCATGGAGGTGCTGGTGGCAACCTTTTCATCATCTGTTGCATCTGCACCCACTCCTCATCTGTAAGCGGTCCAGATGCCGATGTCGTTGTGCTCCTCAGAACTGCTTCTCTGGTTTCACCTCTTTCTTGTTGTAGAGCTCTGCGGGCAATTTCTCGCTCCAGCCATGACCTCCGCCGTGCTGCTTGGCGCAAGTTCTCATTCTTCTCCTTGCGCTCCTTGTCCCATTCCTCGTAAGAGAGGATTCTGCGGCCCGCTGCTTTCGCCTCCGCAAACTGCCTTTTCGTCTCCTCCTCGGCAGCTTTCCAATCCACCGAAGATGGTGACGGCGTCCTTGGCTGAGGTTCTTTGGGCTCCTCAGCGTTTGCTTCCTCAGGTTTTTTGGCTTCCTGAGGTTCTTCTGACGCTGGTAGTTCTTGTTGTCCCGAAGGTTCTGCAGCTTCTTGCCGTCTTTGTCGTTGTTGTTGGAGAAGTCGAAGGCGATCCATCCTTTCATTTCGGACCCTTCTGGCACTTTGCATCTCCTGGATGTCTTTCTCCAACTGCGTCACTTGTTTCTTCACTCGTACCCTGCGGTACTTCTTCGGCTTGGGTCCTTCTTGTTTCAGGACCTCACCTTTTGCAGCATCTCCAGGTCGTAGTGCTTCCCCATGTAGTTGATCTTCTCCTTGTTCAGATTTCCCAGCACCTAGTCCACTGCTTGAGGCTTGGCCTTCCTGCATCTGAACCGTCCGCACTGGTACTGCATCATCTCCTGAAGAGAAGCCCTTCTCATCGTCCAACACCACGCTCCTGATGCTCTCTTTTTCCTCATCCTGGGATGATTCTTCCACGCAGTGCACCTCATCATCTGGCACCCGTGACACTTGCGATGCCGGTCTCAACGTCACCAATGAGGGAACCGGTTTGAGACTCACCCTCTTCGGCTTTGGTTTCCCCGGGCATCTTTCAAACAATTTGCCAGGGACATCGCGGTCTATTTGATCATCACGATCTTCTTGTCGACCACGATCACCTTGATCTTCTCCACCATCGCTCATCACCGCAAAGAATCGCAGAGCAGGTGGAGGTTGTCCGTCTATGTTTGAACCAGGCCGCAACAAAGTCAAAACTGCAACCCGTTAACCATCAAAACTTTGCAAATCACCGGCAACATGTCCCAACGAAGTTCCCCTTGTGGTAGTACTCATGTTTTGGTTTTCTGAGGACATAGTGCTCCCTTTTGGGTAACCCTTTCTGTTTGTGGACATTTTTTGGATTACTGGCGCAACCCCGGAACCCTTACCTTTTCCACTCCAGCTGCTGTCCTCAAGTCGGTCTTGTTTGACCCTTTTGGTCCTCTTTTTGATCAAGCCCTTCGGAATGTCCATCAAATCCAAGCCCATCTCCCCCTCATCCGCAACCAGTCGTGTCGATGCCGAAGTCACCGACGATCCCATGGCACCATCAGCGGATGAAAAAAGAGACATTGCCCGAAGTTGTGGTCCTTGACCTTGACCACCAGGATCATTATCTTCGACCAACTCAAAGCTGCCATCGCCTTCAGCATCCTCATCCAGCTGCGTAGTTGCGACTGGTTGGGTACTGCTCTGGCTTGAAGTAGCAGGTTGTTGAGGTTCTTCTGGGAGTCGCTGAAGAAACAACGTGTAGCCCGTCCAACCAGTCGTTTCCCATGATTCAGACCAGTTGTCCGCCACTTCACTGCGTCTTCCATTTCCATGGATCACCGTGAGCCTCCTTCCCAAGAGATTGCCTGGAGCTCCTCGGTGAACTGGATGGAAGCTTCGTCTCCTTGATGTCCGGTGGTTTCGCATCACCACCCGATACCTCTTGCCAAAGAGCTCCACAACGTCCATGTAGTGCCATCCATCTTGAACCCGTGGAGGTTGTGTGAACAGCCAGTTTTCTGCAACCCTTCGAAGAGCCTCATCAACTTCATTGTCAGTTGGTTCTCGTGGTGGAGCTCCTGGAGGTTGCCGTTGTGGATATCCTTGTTGACCTGTTGAGCTGCTAGAAGAAGCACCTTGTTGTTGTTCACGTTGAACTGCTTGATGAATGCTCCCCCGTTCAGCAGCAACTGCTCTTTGGAAGGCTTCTGCACGTTGTTTTGGTTGTGCCTCTTCTGCCCTCCTCTTCGGTCTTGCCTTAGGCAATGCCGCCTTAGGCACATGTTGTTGCATCCATTGCACTGGAGGAGCTTTGTAGTTGGGAGGTACCTGCCCAAGGTGTCGTAGATAGGCATTGCCGTGAGGGTCCCCATGCGGGAATGGCACTCCAGGGTCTGCCTCTGAGTCATCATCTTCGATGGGATCATCAGGATCACCCTCATATCGAAGTGCGCTCACTCTTGGCACCTCAGGCACTGATTGCAACCTTCCAGTCACATGCACTGATTGCTCCTGCAGAGCACCTTTTGGTGGCCTTGACGACTCCACCCCATTGCTAGCACATGGTCGCGCCCGATCCGTGGATGGACATCCAGGGACGTGAGCTACTCCCCCATACCCTGGAAAGAAGCTCTGTGAGCCATTACAACCAAGATTTTCTTTTGAATCTTCTGCCGTGCTGGCTCGGCTTTGTGGATGGGGTGGATGTGCCGCTTCATCCAAATTCCCTTTTGGGGGTTGGCCACTCTTGTGGTCCTTCTGCGGTCTTTTTGCCAGTCTTGTGGTCTTCAGACTCTTTTCTTCCTTTTCTTTTTCATTCAGCTGAGGTTCAGACGCCTCAGCAAGATGTTCATCCCCTGGTAGACGGTCTCCTCCATGATGTAGGTCGAAGTCGCCTTGTTTTCTTTGACCTCCATGCCGTTGGCGGTACAATGACACAGCCACCATAGCCAAGCCACCCAGCACCAATGGCTCTGAGTCCAACAAAGCTCCAACGCCCATGACTGCAGCTCCCACGCCCTCCAACTTGGTGTTGAAACCAGATGATGCCGTAGCTGAGCTCGTCCATGAAGGGCCCATCACCTTGGAGACTGAAACCTCTTCATCTTCTGCCATTCCAATCAACCCCAAAAAGCGGGTGAATGCTTGTCCTTGGAGTGGCTTCGTTAAACCATCGGCTCCCAGTTCCAAGCCCGAGCAGTGCGACACCGTCCATGGTTCTTCAGGGTCTTGCACCACCTCTCGCAACTTGGCCGACCTAAGTCTCAGATGTCTTGTCCTCCAAGCTCCTGTGTCGGAGGTAAGTTGGCTGATGCCAGACTTGCTGTCACCTTGCATGTGCTTTTTCACTCCCCCGTACCCAAGAACTTCCAGAAGAGCTCCTGTTGATTCCCCATTCTGGTACGCCTCGTTGTACGCCAAGAGCTCTGCCTCCGCGGTGCTCTGGGTGATGAAAGGCTGTTCCCGCCATGGGTCATCATGATGCCCTGCACTGAGCGGTATCCTTCATGAGGTGGTCCAAAACTTGCATCCACCATCACTTCCAAAACATCGATTGGGCCACCACCCTTGTACTGGAGCTTCTTTGATGCACTTCCGCAAAGGTACTTCAGGCATTGCTGTCCAACTTCCACCACGTAGCCAGGCCTTTTGTGAAGCAGCCTTGACATGACCCCCACCGTGTACGCCACATCTGGTCGTGTCCTTGTAGTGAGCCACATCAACTCCCCGCACAACTGCTGGGCTGCTCGCAGGACTGGCCCTTGGAGGTTCTCAGCAGGCTCTTCTGGTCCTTCTTCAACCTTTGGGCACGGGACCCCTGCTGTTTGTTTGATGTTGTGCTTGTCCATGAGGTCGCGGATGTATTTCTCTTGTCCCAGCGCATAGCCCTGGTCGGTCTTTGAGATTTCATAGCCACAAAATGTGACAGTTTTCTCCCCCGTGACCCATTCCGGCGTAGCCAGTGTGAACCTCTCCTCCAAGGCCTGCAAGGTCTCCTCGAGGATGTTGTTCGGGGCCACGAGCAAGAGATCATCCACATAAACCCCCATGTTGCCAATGACGAACCACTTCTCGCCATTGGAAGTCTTTTCCATTTCTTCAATTGACCGCACATGTGGCTCCGGTGTTGGAGCCAGGCGTCGATGTTGACCAGTTTCACCCTTCCAGCTAATGGTCTTGCACGTAGCGTCCCTGTAGACTGCCCAGTCCTTAGGACTTTCCACCAGCCCATAGAGCGCACCTTTGACGAGCCACCATTCTTGGCCACAGACCTGTGCCTCTTTGGTGATCGCCGGCGGTGTGACCAACGTCAACTTGCCCTTTTCTTCATGTCGTGGTGCTTGAAGAAATGCTGTTTTCACATCCACTGTTGCACAGCCCCATTCATTTTGGGCTGCTTTGGACACCAGTGACCTTGTACACACCGTGCATAGTCCACCTGCTGCCACTTCTGCATCTTCATTCTTTGAAGCCTGATTTCCACATGCCACCAACCTTGCTTTTCTTTTGAAAGGCGGCTTGATTGTTGCCACAAGCTTCCCGGGGATCACCTCGATGTCATGAGTTCGTTGAAGCTCCTGGTACTGCTCCCTGTTGATCGGTTCGATGGCCTTGTGCTTCAAGAGGGACTCATACTCCGACTTGATTGGCTCTTTCCATTCTTCAAGTTCTCGTCGAACTTCATCCAGGGTCAAGGTTTTTGTCACCAGGGTCTCCTGCTCTTTGACCATTGGCTCCAGCTTTGCCAAGCCACGAAGTGCCCCTTCAAGTCTTTGGACTTCATCGTCGATGTCCTTCAAAGTTTCTCCCATCATGTCATAGTCTCCAACTTGGGTTTCTTCTCTCCGAAGTCGACATAGCTCATGATGTTGAAGAAGACAAAGTTGTTGAAGGTGATTCAAGTACCTTCGAATTTCTGGTTTTTGTAGTTGTTGGTCGCCAGAAAGTTCATGATCCACCACCGAATCCAGTCCACTCCCCCCTGTTGTGGTCCACAGCAGCTTTGAAACGCTGGGAGGTAGGAGGTCCACGTGCTGTTTTCCATGAAGCCGTCGAGGTCGACTCCCGTCAGCCAAGCGAAGCTCCCCCGGGGTTGGCACCACTTGTTGTCTTGGATCCAGGACATGTACTTGAACTTCGGCGCCACCTTGGTCAGCATGAAGTTCTTCGACCACATGGTCGGGACAGATTTCCATGGGCTCCTCCACATCATCTTGAAGATGGTCATCAGCCTCGTCTTCTGGGAGGAACGACGGCGCATAGTCGTCCGCCTCTGGCTCCGGCAGCTGTGGAAGGAGTGGTGGTAGTGTCCCTGGGACAACCACCACTGTCGACCTCATGAACTTGCCCGAGCTCAGGGATTGGATGTAGTACCCCTTTGATGTGGTGCTCATCCCCATCGCTGGCCCCAAGACCCGGATCTTCTCAAAAGGGTGGTCCCAGTCTCGTCGGTGCCATCGCTTGAGCTTTGCATAGCATTCCGTGCCAAACGGTATCAGTGGCGGCAGAGTGATGCCCATTGAGGCCAGTTGATCCCTCTGTCGTTGTTCCACCGTATGCCGCAAGGCCAAAGGCCACCAATTGGCTTCCAGTCCAGCTGCACGAAGTTGCACCCTTGTCTGTGCCTGGATGATGCCCAACTCGGACTCACACCGCCCATTTCCTGCTGATTCATCGCCAGCAGTACTGGTTTGCAGGATGTCCCGTTGTGTGCACCAATCTCGAAGCTTGACACCTGTGAACTCCCGTGCTCGATCACTGTGAAGTCGAAGCACCGGCAGTTGAAGTGTCCTCAGGCGCATGTACACCTCTTGTACAGCTCGAACCACCTCTCTGGAATGCCTGCTTTGCATTGGCACCGCAAACGTGAGGTTGCGGACCTCCACATCTTGAAGTTCAGCGATCTTCTCTTTCCAGAACTGATCCTTCACATCCCACCAACGGATTTCAGCTGCCGTCAGTTCTTCATGTCGATGTGGAACAATTCCCCATAGATCATCTTCTTCTTTTTGATCTTCATCTTTCTTTTTGGCAGCGTCTTTCTCCTCCTCTGGCTTTTGCTCTTGATCTTCACCTGGTTGTGGAGCGTGAGCTTGCTCTTCTTGTGGGTGATCTTCTTGTTCAAGATCTTGCGGTGCCACCGCACGTGCCAAGTTCTCTTCCAGCTCCTTTTCAAATTGTTCCAGGAGATCATCGCGATCTAAAGGACTGCCTTCAGGAGGTTGTAGGCGACGCTTTTCACCACCTGCGACTTGCTGCAAACCTTCTGGAAGTGGAAAGCTGTCTTGCACAGGGACCGTGTACACCGCCACCATAAAGTAGGTCGGCCGTCCCCGCTGGTCAATCCCCTTCTTGTGAGGCCCGCTCAAGTCTATACTCAGAGTATAGGATTCAGGATGTTGTAGCCGACGCCGTGGTCGATCTCTCCCTGCACCTTCAAGACAAACTGCACAATCTCGCCGAAAAGGTTTGTGTCCATTTGAAACATGCAGTTGCCACTCTTTGATTTGTCTTTTCTCCACCGCAGACAGTGCACATACTGCAGGAATCTG